TTCTTAATAAATTGGGTGCAAAATTATTTTTGTTCGATTTAAAAGTAAAAATTGAGCTATTTAAGCCCAAACACGATAGTTTTATCTCAAATATTACGAAATATAGATAAAAAATAAAGAATAATAAAATTAAAGATGGCGGATGTCAATGCCAATTTGAAGGTTATGTTATTTTACACAAAATATAGGTTGTTGGGTGTCAAATTAAAGGATTTTCGATCTTCTTTACGATTTTTAAGAAATTTTTGATTCGTCATTTCAAATTAATTTTTTGATTCTTAATAAATTGGGTTCAAAATTGTTTTTGTTCGATTTAAAATTAAAAATTGAGTTATTTAAGTCCAAACACGAATGTTTTATCTCAAATATTACGAAAAATAAAAAAAATAAAGATGGCGGATGTCAATGTCAAATTTAAGGTTATGTTATTTTATACAAAATATAGGTTGTTGGGTATCAAATTACAGGATTTTGGATCCTCTTTACGATTTTAAAGAAATTTTTAATTCATCGTTTCAAATTAATTCTTTGATTCTTAATAAATAGGGTTCAAATTGTTTTTGGATCGATTTAAAATTAAAAATTGAGTTTTTTAAGCCCAAACATGAATGTTTTATCTCAAATATTACGAAATATAAAAAAAATAATAAAAATAAAAATGGCGGATGTCAATGTCAAATTTAAGGTTATGTTATTTTACACAAAATATAGATTGTTTGGTATCAAATTAAAGCATTTTCGATCTTCTTTACGATTTTTAAGAAATTTTTGATTCGTCGTTTCAAATTAATTTTTTGATTCTTAATAAATTGGGTTCAAAATTGTTTTTGTTCGATTTAAAATTAAAAATTGAGTTATTTAAGCCCAAACACGAATGTTTTATCTCAAATATTACGAAAAATAAAAAAAATAATAAAAATAAAGATGGCGGATGTCAATGTCAAATTTAAGGTTATGTTATTTTACATAACATATAGGTTGTTGGGTATCAAATTACAGGATTTGCGATCCTTTTTACGATTTTTAAGAAATTTTTGATTAATTGTTTCAAATTAATTTTTTGATTCTTAATAAATTGGGTGCAAATTGTTTTTGAATCGATTTAAAATTAAAAATTAAGTTATTTAAGCCCAAACACGAATATTTTATCTCAAATATTACAAAAAATATAAAAATAATAAAAATAAAGATGGCGGATGTCAATGTCAATTTGAAGGTTATGTTATTTTACACAAAATATAGGTTGTTGGGTATCAAATTAAAGGAT